GCACTGTCTGACGCGTCTGCCTCCGCGACCCGAAAGGAGAAGCGGCGATGGAAGATGAAGAGGAAGAAGATGAAGATAAATCAGCTGTGAAAAAAATTCATTTTGGGATCGGAGCATTTTGTTACTCATATCGGTATCATTATGAGACCTGCTGTTGTTGTCATCTTCCTCTGAGATTTCAGGGTAAAGGAAGAGTACCCAGATTAATGATGTCTGCGTAGATCGCGAGAAAGTCGACTGGTACCGCTCAGCTATACGAATGACGTCATCCAGCTTGCCGTCTCCGTTTAGCGTTCATACGTTCCAGCAGGCGACATGGATCTTCTCCTTGCTGATATTGACCTCATTGAGGTCAGGTTACTTAGTGCTAAACGTTCGGGTCTGTGAACGTACACTACTCGTCGCACAGGCGTCGCGTAATGGAGTCACGGATCGAAAATACTACCCGATCACTTGCAGCGGCGTACAACCTCATATCCTCAAGTTTTAACTGTCGAACGTCGTAGAGATGCTTGGATTAAAATGAAACACCGTTTCTAGAAAACCACTTGCGTTAAAGCCAACTGGGACAGTAATAAAGCACAGAAGAAAATCAGCTAAAGCCTACATTCAGTTTGCACACCTGTAGTGGAATCAGTGCTGCCAGATGTCATCTTCATTAGTAGTATGAGATCAGCATCAAGACCGTTGCTTCCAACGAACTGTTGTTCATAAAGATGATGATATTAAATTGATCTATTGGTGGGTGGGCTTCCTCACGATGCTGCTTTATAACGTGCCCAGCGATTAGCTCCTGGGTGGCTGCCAGTATCCTCTGTTGACATTCATGTCATCGGCCGAATCGGAACAGTTAATTATGTCAGTGATGGGAGTTCTGTGTGAAAGCGGAAAATGATAAACGCGTATTGTCAAAGTATATTATTAAATTATATCTTTCTTACCTCGTTCACATATGGCAAATGTACCAGTCTAGTTAGATAAGTTAAGCAGCAAGTAGTGTCAAATATTTGTTCACCACATGATTCAGTTTAAACTTTAAATCAGATGGCTAACTGATGAAAAAAAGCTATCATAACTAAACTTTTTGTTGCAGCACGAAGAGGTCAAAGACTGAATGAGCAGTTTCTTTAATTTAAGGATGGTTTACATCATTTTATGTGTCTTAGATCAGTAGGTTGCTAACCTACATTGATAAAGATGTTTAGTGAAATGTTACAGAAGTGCCAAATATTATTCTTCCTCTCTTGTGGCTGACGCTAGGCCATTACTTTAGGTACGCTTCCAGTTTCCAGACTGTGAGTTCCCACTGTCACCATTGTTTTCGTACACATCATTTAATGTACCATAAACACCGGCATCGAAACAGGCTCCAGAGTTCAGATGTCCGAGAAAGCCTTAGTGTACAGCGTCTGCTTTTTAGTCTAAAAAAGTACGCTTTAGGCAAGTTTCGCGAATGCTGCCAAAGAGGAAGGCGAAACAACAACTACCTACTCGATCGGTAAGCCGAAGACTAAGCCAAGAATGACTTAAGGAGAGAGCCTCGTCGAACTCTGTTCTTCACCCAGGTTTTCTTTTGCTGAAGCTCAAGCACTTGAGCAGGATCGGGATCGTTGCTTACCCTATCTGACGCGACTGCCTCTGCGACTTGAAAGAATAAGCATCCATCGAAAGTTACTGACTGAGTGGGGATTAGATTCCAACTTACGATTAGTTATTCTCATATAGTATTTTGAAC